GTGATGTAACCCTTAGCCTCAAATCAAGTGAGAGAGTGTAAAGGATAAAAGAGAGGTTAACATTCACCATCCGATAAAGAGAGAAAGAATGCGTAGAAAACAAAGAAGGGAAGCGAAAAGGAAAGAGAGAAATATGGCAACAGATTTAGAAAGAAAACCGAAACCGAAAACGTAATAGTCATAAAAATGACGAAAAAAGAAACACCAGAAAATCAAGTACATTTATTAAGGGGAGAAATCTTAATTGCATGAGGACAAACGGATGAGGTAACAGAATTCCTCCCCTGCCGTATAACAGCCATCAAATGGCAATCACTGTACTACTGATTGTAATACTAATTTACTATTACTACTACTACTATAATGTTAGTAATAAGTTCAAACAAAAAAGAAAGCTGAAGACGAAATTTAGAACAACAATCTGAATATTTTGCTTTCACTTTCACTTTCAGCTTTATATTCCTTCATAAATGTATTTGTCATTTTTCTTCTGTCTTCCTCTTTCTTTTCTTATCTTCCCATCTTTCCCGCAATAACGTAAAAAAAATACAATCATCTGCACTTGCGCCATAACTTCCACCACTACTTGTAATAAATGCCAGTCTCCAGGGCAAAATCACAATGCTTAACAGCAGGGCCGATCACGTACGCCCACACATACACACAAGCAAGCACACGTTCTGCTGGTGGTGGATGTCCATAATTCAAAAATAATCCTTCAACGATTGGTCGTTTCTTTGACCAATCACAACCTACCCTGTTCTTTCTCCAAACCACGGCATCTACATACCCCAAACCCTGAAATAGATCATAAGTTCAGCGGAACAATTTGGAGGAAAAATGTTGGAGGCAACTTGACTAATATTATGAAACTATCGTTTCTTAAATCCAATGTGATCGACTGAAAAGATTATATTTTATTTCGATGTCGAGGAGATTTAGTAGAATGCGAATCCTTTTCTAACCTGAACACATTATACACAGGTGAGGCGTGTCTGAAGAGAGAATGGCCCTCAAAAAATGTTAAGTTGTACTTTAATGTGTTGTAACTGAATTTGGAATTACAGATCATTTTTGACATGCCCGTGTGTGCGCACTGTCACATTAGATGTACGTGGCTAGCCTCAAGGCTGAAATTGTTGCATCTTTCCTACGACGATTTTGTCGAAGGGATAAAAATATGATTTCTAAAATTGAAAATTTTTATTTTGATTTAAAATAGCTTCAGAACATTTTCATTTTAGTCTTGGGTATGGCTATAAACAACATTTAGCAGCAAGGCCTCTGATCGAGTGAGATGTCGATGCGAAAATTATAATCGGCGAGCTGAGTTCAAATTTCGGGCTCGTCTGTTTGGTTTATTTCTGTGCTAATGGCCTTGTGAAAGGCATAAATCTATCTCTTGTCTCCACAACCAATGCTATAGGCTAAACAACAGGGGGAATTGAGTTCTTTAGCTTTAAGTGGCAACAAGTCTAAGGGAAAGAAAATCCCAAGTTACAAATCAGGAAGAAGGCAACGGGAAACCACTCACTTATCATTCCCAAGAAATCACGACAATTCCAGTTACTAAAAGAAAGGAATCCATTGAGAGTCATTATAGCCAACGTCCCGAATGGACATGACATGTAAAAAGAAGTCCATAAACTCCAAATATTAAATCCTCTGTAAAAGCATTAAAATATTAGGTTGGTGCAAAAATAATGACGTAATAATGTCGTTTTTTGACGTATTTTTTAACGTCAAAAAACGACATTATTACGTCATTATTTTTGCACCAACCTAATATTTTTATTAAGTTAACCACATAGTCACTTCATTCATCTTGTAAATGACCTGTCATTGGGAATTGTCACTGGTTGAATGTATCATTTTTTTTTACGTTCTTATTTCCAATAACATATTGTCGGTTTCGGATAACGACGGATAAGCATCGTGATTGAATCAAAGCACAGGGATATGTGGATTCTTGTCTTCCTCTATAGCTAAAAATTGAAGCAGAAACCAGATTTGAAAATAATGAAAATAAATTACTACTGTAATAGAACTTGCTATTAGATCAACGTTTCTCAACTCGTAGGCTGCGACACAATTTTCGTCGCAATAAAATATACTTTATTTTTGTCACATCATAATCTTAAAAAAGAAGAATTTCTGTTAAAACAGAATTGTTGATCAGATATAATTTGTTTATAGTCCCAGATACATTTAAAAAAAAAATAAGAATTTGAATTATTTTTCAACATCGTGGCTGGCCCTAAGCAACGAAGCATTCTTATAAACGCTACGCTTTACTTCTTCCGCTTTCTATATAATTTCGTTTTTCCTGTTCGCTATATAAAAAAAAGAAGACACCAGCTGATAAAAAAATCCAAATATGACATTTTGAAAAATGTATTTACCAAATTGGAGTTAGCAGTGTCCTCTTGAAAATCTCTAAACAGTATCCAGAATTCTGTATTCGTAATAAACTTTCTGCTACCAATTTTTATTTTTTATTTCTGGGCATCTAAATTATGGATTATTCCATATTCAAAAACGAAACATAAAATTGCCGTTCGAGTTAAATAAAAAAAAAAAATTCCCTCCAATTGTAACATTCAAATTCTCTTCAATAGACGCAAACACTGACAAACTTTTAAGCAGTTTAAATAAGATTATTTTTGCTATCATTCAGTGAATAAATATCTCAGTATTAATTTAAAATACAGAGTTGGTAATTTTAAACAACTGCAATAGATTAGAACGTTTTTTTTTTCATATGTTTACCATTTACAGAATTCAGTTATTAGATACTAGCAGCATGGCCCGGCGTTGCCCGTGCTTGATTCAAAAATCGTACGACTCATACAGCAATCGCTATCACTTGACTTAAAATATTTTTGCCCTTCCTTGCCTTTAAAGGAGTGCCCTTTGCCGTGCTGATGTTGCTACATGCCTTACTTCTTGCCTATCTCACACTGTGAATTTTGTCTAAGCTCTATAGTAAACATTAAATCTGTTACGAATAAAGAAATAGCAAAATAAACACAAAACGATCAGCTTTAAAAAAGGACTCGTAACTGGAAAAACTGAATGAAAAAAGAATGTTAACAACAAATACTTTTTCACACCCAACCCAGTTCTGCGGAATTAGAATCAACGTTGAGTTTAAGCAAGCGAATGAGCCAATTGGAGTAAAGTGCCATGCAGATTTAAATTTTTCCCACTTGTAACGAATGCAGCTATCGATTTTTTTTTTGCATGCTAGCATGCTAGTTAACATTCGTCTCAGTCAGCTGTTGGCTCTCACGCTGGCCAATAGAATCTTCCTGCTTATTCGTGGCAGCCAGCTATAGGCTCTCACTCTGGCCAGTAGAAAATGGCCGCAAACTACATGAAAACTGCCGTAGAAGCATGAAAAATCGATTATTTCCACTATCGATGGGAGTGTGGAAATGCAAAGTCGGTCTTGGCCTTCTCGCAAACTTGAAGCATGTGCATGTAAATTTTGGTGCAAATCCGTCGAAAATTGCGGCCGTGCATTCGTTACACACACACACACACACACACACACACACACACACACACACACACACACACACATCCTGTCTTTTATAGATAGAGATTGTAACCTTGTTTAAAATAGGATTAGAATGGAGTTAATTCTTGCGAACGCACTCACAGTTAGGGTAATGCAGTAGTATATGATTAAGACCAGGAATTAGCCTAAATCGAATTCAATGTCAATAAATAACCTTTGTTCTAAGAGAATTTGATCTAGGATGATCCAAATTGTACGCGAAACATCCCAAATGATTCCAAAATAGACTATTCACTCAGTATCATACCGTGCGAATCAAAGATGATGGGTCTCTTCACAGGATTCAACCGGCAGGTATGCAGCTATCCGCCTGGTGCAGTATCGGGTCTCAAGGAATCCCGAAGCCTGCTTCTATTATATAAATTGTTGATAAACAAAACTGCACTCGAGACGTGTCCATGTCGTACAACTAGATGATAGTAAGATATATTCAAAAGATTAGAGAGGTTAATCCATCGTCCGGTTCACACTCCTCCCCGATATTTAGTAGAGGTTTATCCCTTGTTTCCTGCCAGGGATTGGGTTTCCGGTTCCGTGTAAAATCTTCTCTTTTTCTTCAACTACCAATGGTCCTTTATGTTTTAGTGGCGTCATCGTCGTACTTGGAGTCAACTGATAAAAAAAAGCGCTCCACCGGAATGGACAACGACAAAATCACTCACATTATTGCGAGAAAGCGATCCACGTTCGAAGAAAACTCACAAATCCAAACACTTCCATGGTAATATTAATTGATGGTATCCAAAATTAATAAAAAAAAAAAAAGTTTAGGTGTGAGTGATTTACTTTTTCGTTCCTTTTGTTTTCATACATGATACACGCTTGGGCAACCATGTCTCTTCAATTCATTGGCAGAAGAATTCCCGCAGTAGGCTACCGTTTATTTCTACGGGAGACTGGTTGTCAACCTAGGCTACAGGATCCAGCTTTTCCTGTTATTCAACACAAAGATGGATTCATACTTTTCACAAGGTTATTTAAAGGTAAGTGAATGTAACATACTTTAGTGGACTTCTAACTCGTGTCATTGCGAGTCGTTATTCATTAGACCACACAATACCATACCGCACATCATATTCTTTTTAGTTTTAAAAAAATAACGTTACGATATATTCTTCTTCTATATGCCGCGTCTCTTTAGAGCATTGGCGACCATGGCGAGTAATAAATGTTGTTATATTTCCTAAACCTTGTTTCGCCATCCATTTACTCAAACTCTCTAGGTAGGTTTGCGTTGTTTGCCTCTGTTTCTCTTGTTTCAATCTGCCTTGTGGGTATCAAATTTTCCAAGCCCCGTCTTATGGGCACTACAAATTTCAATCCTATCTTCCTGATATAAGTATAAATGTCCTTTTTATTTCCTTTTTCTCTAAAACTTCACATGTTCGGTCCATTGTATTCTCAGCATCCTCCTGTA